AGGAGAACAAACAGGTTTGGAGAGGTGAAGTCAGAATGTTCCTTGGAGTCAAGGATTGTGAAGCTTCGTCTGACGTACTTTGGGCATGTTGCAAGAAGGGACTGGTCTTTGGAGAAGGACATCATGTTTGGCAGAGTGGATGGGCGGCCCACGAGAGGAAGACCTTCGAAGAGATGGATCAATTCTGTGACTGGAGTGGTGGGAATGGGTGCATTTGAGATGGCTAGGTTGACACAGGATTGAATGGCATTTAGGGCTCTTTTACATAGGGTCGCTATGAGTCACAAGCGACTCAATGGCACATAACAACAACAAGAACATTGTTTGTTACCTGACAACACTCCCACTCCTGAAGCTCTTGTGGAAAGACACACCAACACCCTAGCCTCTCAACATGGCTAAGTTCCTGCACTTGGTGTCTATTTTCTCTATTCCCAGGTGGTTCTGGCAATAATCCCAACAAATGTTAGAGACATCTCCCAGTCCTAGGAGATCACCCCCAGAATATGGTGAGGATAGAGGATTCCTTTCTATATACTCCCACGGTTTATGTGCTTCTTGTTGTCCATGCAAATTCTCACTCATTCGTTGCTAGCCCCAAGGAAGGCCCCAAGGTGAGTATCACAGCTATTATAAAAATGAACGCTATATCCCATTTTCTCAACCACACTACAATATTTGACAGATAGACAGCAGCCTTATGGCCCCTAGGATGGGCATCCCTTACCCTCTGCCCATAGACCCTAAGGCCCCCATGTCAACAGACTTGTGTTCATAATTTATAGCTCGGATCAGTCTGAGATTACCTGTGATTGAGCCTTCAATGTCTTTTGCTTGTATTGAAATGTGGAGAAGGTAAGCTTTCATTAGGCCCAGCTTCCTTTAAGTCCACGAACTTCATTGTCTGTCTTATTGATCAAGTCTGTCTTATTGATCAAGTCTCAATGCTTGTCTATCGGTAATAAGCGAGGAGGCAACCTTTCAGCAGAAACTCGTGGATTTCCTCATGGAACTCAAGAATTCCTCATGGGCATACTCAAAGGAGCTTAGCCTGTTTGGAGAGTCAGTTCAGTAGAAATGAAGCTGGAAGTTTTTTAATTTTAAGAAAGACCATATAAAAGAGGGCCATAATTCCAAAGGTTTGAGTCTACCAGCCACCTCACAGAAAGAAGGATGGGCAATGTCCTGCTGTGTGATTTACTGCCTCTGAAAACCCACTGGAAGGTCAGCTATGAGGAGGTCCCAACTTGATGGCATATAACAACAACAACAATCCTTCAAAGAGAATAACTATTTTTGTAAGGTTGGAAATAAAAATACAGAAAGAGAAAATAGAAAGTCTTCTCATTCCTTTTCCCAAAAGAATTTGCCCCGTTCTGTATCTTTTTAAATTTTTCTAGATGTTGGTTTCTGTTTTTCATTGTGTAGCTAAACAGTTGATAGTAGGTGCCTTTGTCACCATTTACCCAAAGAGCTTGTGTGTTATGAACGGATTCAAGGTTGAGCCTCTAAAGGGTTTTCAGAGGCAGTAAATTTCAGATGGGAGGAGATTGCCCATCCTTCTCCAGTGGTGTAGCTAGTGGTTTCAAACCACCTGCCTTTGAGCTGGCAGCACAATTCTGTATCACTAGGCCTCCAGAGCTCCCTTCCTATATAGTATATGCAAAACCAGACAAGGATTTGCCAATTAAAAAGCTTCAACTCATTTCAGAGAGACACCTGTAACTGCCAGTGGTTAATAACTTACTAACACTCTTAAACTTTATGCACTTTGTATACATTATTTTCCATGGTGGTTTTATTTTTTATTTATTTTTTTTTTCACAAGTATTTTTAAGAACATGGGCTTTGGAATGCCAGTTCAATAAATAATCACTCAGGGCGGTGATTCTCTGAAAAAAAAAACATGAACTTTGGAACCACACATGCCAGCTTCATGAAGTGGCGACCTTGAACTAGTATCTTCCCCTTCCAGTCCATTTCCTCTGTGTACATGAAACAGTTGAGTTGTGAAAATTCAGTTACATTAGGTCAGTGTCCGAACACCACAATATTCAACATTGGCCGGTGTTTATTATACATTCCTATTCTTTTTTTGTGGATAAACTCATAATGCTGCATGGTTACTATATTCTTAGTTTCTGCTTAACACGGAATAGCCAATGATTATGAATTTACAGAACTGCAGTTAATGCGCTTGTACTTTTGTATTTGAATTTTTAAAATAATGCTGTAATGATTTTATGCAGAAAATTTACTCAACAGTAGCTGAACTTTGTTCTTGGCCAGATCACTTAGGAGTGGAATTAATGGGTCAAAGGGTACATTCGTAACACTTTACAAATAACTGAGTCAAAGGTTACGTTGGTTTTTTTTTAAATTTTTTTGTGTATCGTCAAATAGGATCTGACTAGTACAGCAGAGCATCTGGTGGATTCAAACCACTATATCTGCGATTGCAGTGCAGCTTCTTTACAATTTAACCGTTTTCCAAAAACTTAACACTGCGAAGAAGAAAGCGAGTTCTGGTTGCCCTGAGTAAATATGGCGGAAGAGGCGCATGCTCTTACAACACACTAAGGTTCTGACGCCCTCACTCAACATGGCCTCTCTCTGCCCCCGCCCCCTAGCGTCCCCGCCCCCCTGGCGCAGACAGAGAGTAACGATGGCGGCGGCTACAGCGGCTTGTGCTGGCGTGCTCCGGGGCCTCCTGACGCGACGTGAGTAACTCTGACCCCGGTGCTTGCTGTCGTGTTGTCAGGGCGACCATAGGAGTCACAGACTCGGGGGCCCGTGTGCTCCGATATGAAGGGCAATCTAATTCGGTGTTCCAATTGGAGATTGTTGATGGCGCAGTGTCCTTAATTAGGGGTCAGGGTCACTCCTTCGATCAGAGGTCGGAGGTGGTTCTCAAACGGAAGGCACAGTGAGACACCCCTAATCTTGAAGATCGGAGCGCTCCTCAGCACAGTGTCTGAGGGGCTTGTTTTTCCCAATCGAGTAACTAACTGACCTGCCCTTGCAGGCCCCGGGTCCCAGCATTTTCCAGATTGGCAGGTCCCCAGGTAGAGGTCATCCAAGACTTTTTTCTTCTTTTCTTAGGACTTGTGGCCCCGGTCCACCCGGGTCTCCGATATAGCCTTCGCCCCATGAGTACCACCACAGCAAGAGATGAGGCCGCCAGAGCAGACCAGGCTGAGACCCCAGACCACAGCTACGAGTCTCTGCGGGTGACATCTGCACACAAGCACGTTCTGCACGTGCAACTAAACCGGCCTGAGAAGAGAAATGCCATGAACAGGGCGTTCTGGAGGTTAGCCTTGTGTATCTTTGTACCCCCTTGTGTATCTTGAAGGACTGCCTGCAAGGAAAGGGTAGATGGATATTTACAGCCCTTTTCTCCTTGCCCCTCCGCAGAGAGATGGTGGAGTGCTTCAACACGATTGCACAGGACTCTGAATGTCGTGCAGTGGTCATCTCTGGGGCTGGGAAAATGTTCACTGCAGGTATCACTTCACCCCACTAACCTCTCCATTCCTGGAATGCAACAGTGCTTCTTAAAGTGCGTTTTAAGGAGCGTCTGAGTGTTGCTTTTATTCTTATTAGAAGACTGACTTAAAAAACATGGACTAACAGACTCTGAAGTCTGAGTCTTGGTCTTTGTGGCTTTAAAATAGTATCCTTTGTGATTATGCCAGAAACCTGTGTAAAGCAAAAACACAAATTCTTTCCCCGAGTAGAAAAAGATAGGATTATGGTAAGACCTCATTGTGTCAGAGGTAGAAACAAATATCATTACATTCTGGCTCTCTTAGGTTTTTGCATGTTTTAACATTCCTCCCTTAGATTTCATGACATACATTTTCAAGTGGCCAGCCAACCAATAAAGCAAAACCCCACTGCTGTTGACTCAGAGTGCTCCATAAAAGCTTCCGAGGATGTGACCTTTTGGAAGCAGGTCTCCAAATCTACCTCTGCGTGATTCAAATGGCTGATGTTTTAGTTTTGTTGGTAGTTGAGTGAGTGCTTAACTGTGCTTAATATCTTGATTGCCATAGATCTTTTCTTCAGATTGGCTCATTTTCAGTAGTCAGATTCCCTGACTCTTCCCTGACTATCATCTTTAATCTGTTAAATCCATCTAGTTAGTATTCTAAAAAGTATTTCGAGACAACTGTATTTCCTCATTTTCCAGATAAGAAAGTGAATCAGAAAAACTGGTTAGAGAAGGTTTTGGAACATGCTGGACTTCTGGCAGCAAGCAGAGCTCTTGTTGCATCACGTGTCTCTGTCATGGTCTGGGGCCATGGACTGCAGCTGACTGACCTAACTATTCTGACTTTATAATAAATGAACTACCTATAGTAGCTGTGAAGCACCTCTGGAACTCTGTCTTATTGAGTCTTTGCAGTGCTTTCAAGCTCTTAGAGGGATTTTTTTCCTCTTCTTCCATCCGTGAAACCCCAAGCTCAGCAGACGGCAGCTGACCTGCCAGGGACACAGAGCGGAGTGCTGCTAACATGAGCTCAGCTGACCTGTGTTAAATACAAATTCCCTTCTAACCTGAGCCAGTGCTCCCCCTGATTTAAACACCAAGTAGAGGCAGGGATGCCTCAGAGGAAGCGGCTCAGGCAAAGGTACAGAAAGTTTTTAGGATCTGAGAGCATTGCTGGGACAGGTCAGGGGATGAGAGTGACTAACTGCAGGAAGCCGACTCCTCCTGTGGCTTCAGTTCACTCGAGGTAAAAGCCAGAATCCTCCTATGACAAGGACTTGACATTCTGTTGTAAGTGGGAGAACCACCACCTGCTGGTGAGTTTGTTATGCCGCTGTGGCTTGTATATTGATTTGATGCTGGAAACTGTGCCACTGGAGTCACTGGGCAGTAACCAGCAACAAGTAATAGAATAAAGGAGACTTTATTGTTCACAGAGGTTCTGTGGAGACCCAGGGTGGAAGCAGGGTCTCCAGGAGGAGTGAGGGCGATCAGGACCAGAGTGAGGGTTACGGGTGATAACTGGATTGAGGAAAGAGCAGATTTGAGATTGATTCTGGAGTCCCAGTAATTGTCCCCTGGACTTTTACATTTTCGGTACCATCTCCACTATTGATCCTTGACTCTTGCCAGAAGCCAGGACTCCTGAGCAGCCTGACAGAGAGGAGGATAAAAAACACATGGCCTCTGGAGTCTGCTGTACGGTTCTATGTATAAAACTTTTATTCCACAGCCGGCAGGCCCAAACTGCCTCAGTTTACTGCTTTCTGTAAAATGGAGATGATGATAGGATCAACCTCATAGCATTGTCAAGGAGTAAATGAACAGTGGCCTAGTGAACATTATTAGCATTTATATGTAGTCTTATTTTTGTATTTTGTACTCAACCTTTTGGCAAGTCCTATGTGAGTTGTTTGCTCACGGTTGTGTTTGGGATTTCTAACTTGCTGCCCTTAGATTTTCCCTCCTGGCCTGGGAGCCTGAGTGAACCCTTCTCATACCTCCCTACCTAGGAATCGACCTTGTAGACATGGCTTCAGACCTCCTGCAGCCCCAGGGAGATGATGTCGCCCGCAGGAGCTGGTACATTCGCAACCTCATCACCAGATACCAAGAGACTTTCAATGTCCTTGAGAAGGTGACTCTGGGACTGGGACGGTGTCTCCTTTCCCACTTACCTTGGGAAGCTCTGACTTGACCACTCCATTTCCTTCCAGTGCCCCAAACCTGTGATTTCAGCTATCCATGGGGGCTGTATTGGTGCAGGTGAGTCTGCGACCCCAGCTCCCACCCACGGCACCCACTTTCACTGGGCTTCTTTGAGCTCTTGCTCTTTTTTTTTTTCTCTATAATTATATTTTATTAATTTTCATAAACATTTACAGAGATTTTGGGCTTCCACTCATTCATTGTTGCACTATTCTCTCTACCCTCCTCCCAGTTTGTTCTTGTCCAAATGCCACAGTGCTTGTCAAAGCCAGTTCTGATTAATCTTCTTTGTCAGTGTATCCTTTGCCATTCCCTATCACTCCTCCCTGAGAGAGACTTCACCCTGAGTCATAAGGAAAAGGGGACGGCGTATTCTCTTTGAGCTCTTGCTCTTGCATCTCAACTGAGCCAGTAGCTAGACTTGATCCCTAGATGCAACCCCTCCAGGAGGAGAGGTTGTCCCTCACAATTTTTTAGTGTCCCTGGCCTCTCCCTGACAGGTGTGGACTTCATCACTGCCTGTGATATCCGGTACTGCACCCAGGATGCCTTCTTCGAGGTGAAGGTGAGCTTCCAGAATGCCTTTCCCTTTTTTGGGTCTCCCTTGACTCTGAGCAATAGATTAGGGGGTAGTGGGACCTGGAGGAACCTAAGGGTTTATGGGAAGTTAGTCAAAACTGAATCTTAAAAAGTGAGACTTGGCTTTGGGAGGACACCCGACAGCAATCAATCCCAGGTGAGGTCAGGAAGGAGCAGAAGTAGGAATGGAAATCAGATCAGCAGTGCATGGAGTGCTGGGAGGTGGGATAGATGTGTGGCTGACCCCAAAGAATTGAAGGGACAGAGAGACTTAGAGAATGGACTCTATTCTGTGTTGATAGGAATAGAATGGAGTATTTGGGGAAGACTTTCAGGTAGAACATGGTCCACGACTCTCTCCAGATTGGGCTGGGGGATAAACAGGACCTTAGTGACAGGAAACCAAATGACTGCCTCTAGGAGGTGGACATCGGTCTGGCAGCTGACATGGGAACTCTGCAGCGCTTGCCCCGTATCATTGGGAACCAGAGGTAAGGGAGCGAGGAGGGAGGAGGAAAAGAGGATCATAGACCCCTTGGCTGCTGTCCCCTGAGCCATCCTCCCCTCTTGCAGCCTGGTCAATGAACTGGCCTACACCTGCCGCAAGATGATGGCTGATGAGGCCCTGAGCAGTGGACTGGTCAGGTAACGGGTGCACTGGGCAGCTCTGCCTGGGTGAGGTCTCGAGGCTGTCGTACAAGGCTTTCTCTGAGTGGCCCTTCCTTTAGGTGGAAGCCTATAACCCGCTCTGATCAGCTAATTAATAGTAGCTATTCCACCGTCTGGTGTCCATCTACGGGACAAAAGACTCTCCCAGGTATCCTGTTCCTGATTCCCTTGCATCCACAGCCGGATGTTCCCAGACAAGGAGGCCATGTTGGATGCAGCCTTTGCTGTAGCAGCTGAGATTGCCAGCAAGAGCCCTGTGGCAGTGCAGAGCACGAAATTCAACCTGATCTATTCCCGGGACCATCCAGTGTCTGAGAGCCTTAAGTTCATGGTGAGCAGCACCTTCTCACCAATCACATTTCTTCTCGCCATCCCAGCTGCATGCACCCTGTCCTCTGACTGGCAGACTGCTGACTGTCCTAATTTTCATTGGTCCATCTCTGATCTCCTATGTCTTCTGTTGCCCTTCTGCAGAGCACCTGGAACATGAGCATGCTGCAGACCGATGACATTATAAAGTCTGTCCAGGCCACAATGGAGAAGAAGGAACTGAAAACTGTCACCTTTTCCAAGCTCTGAGAGTACATTCCCACATCCACCAACTCTGGATCTGACTTTGGCCTACCCTGGTGCCTTCTCACCCAGTCTACTAACTTGTAGTTTTACAAACAAGAATTTCCTTAAGAAAAAAATAAGTATTTCCTTAAGGCCTTATACTTTGGTCCAGTAAGGATAAAATCTTTTAAGGAACCTGGTGACCTTGGGGCAGGGAGGGGCTGAGATGGACCTGAGGGCCTCAAGACCAAAATTAGGTGGAAGGTCAGAGACAGGGATCTCTGATTTGTGGAATGAGTGCCACACAGGTGGTGATTGCAGGAGCTAGGGTGGACAGATTCAAGCCAAACATAGAGTCTGTGGACATCATTGTTACTGGAGAAAACAAGACTTTCCTATCCTGGGAATCTTTAATAGTCTCTGCTCAGAGCACAGCATGCTGGGATTAGAGCCTGGGCTTGGCTTGGAGTTTAATTATTAACTCCATTTACAGCTGACAGTAAAGCAGTAGAAAACTTAAATTTATCTTGCATAATATAACATAAGTAAAAAAACCTTACAGCTTGTAGGATAATAGACTTCTTGTTATATGCTGTTGAGTTACCTATGACTCATAGTGACCCTATGTACAACAGCCCTGAACCCTGCTCTGTTCTGTGCCAATACTAACTTTTCACAATGTTAGATGCCTTTGAGTCCACTGTAACTTAGAGCAACCATATGAACAAAAGATGTGAAGTTGGCTCTATGTTGCTTTAGCCTCAGTATCCAATGATAAAAGGAAACAAACACCTTTTTTTCTATAACATTTTAAAAGGAAGGGGTATTTTTCTGGAGAGTAAAATAAAAAGCTTCCGTAACCAAAAGACTTAACTACAGCGTCAGCTATGAGTTAGTTCCGACATAGGACATAGCGATAGTTTTTGAGCCTGAGCCTACCTTTTGCAATAAGAGAACATTGTGAAGGAGCATATATTGCTCATTCAGCTTGGCTTTCAGGAAAGAAAAACATGTAAGAGGCTCTCAGAGACCAAATATATCAGTCTTCAGGTAAATTGAACAAGAAATAAGGTTTTTGAGCCATTAATATAGTTGATTTTTACTAAAGCATAGTTGGTAGACTGGGAGGAGAAAAAAATTCCTCGACAATTCAGATAATAAAAATGAATTGAGTTTTAAATTAAAAAACCCAACCACCTTCCTTAACCAATTAATGATGTCTGCCTTGCAATTTTTTATCATCCAACATCCAGATGCATTTTGTATGCTGTCGAGTCCCCTGCTAAGCATAGTGACCCTATGTACAACATCTCAGAACTCTGCTGTATCTTGAGCTAAGCTTATTGTCTCTGACACACCTACCCTCATTACCTCAGTCATTGAGTCAGTCCATCTCATTGAGAGTCTTCTTCTCTTCCCTCCACCCTTCCAAGGACACTCTCCAAGGACTGGTCCTTCATTGCAACATGGCCAATGTATGGCAGACGAAGCTTCAAAATCCTTGCTGCTAAGGATTCACCCTGTCTAGGAAGAACTTGTTTTTTCTCCCAGCAGTCTATGGTATATTCATTATTCTCCAGCACCACGACTCAAACATACTTAGTACTTTTGGAGATGTCCTTGACAGCAGCTTTGTCTAATATGTCTTCTGTTTCTAAATTGCTGGTACCAAGGGTGTTTTCTCTCAGTGACACACAACAACTTGCAGTACAGTGGCCTAGTAGGTAAGGTAGCACATTACCAACCCAAAGGCAGGTGGTTGAATCCACCAACTGCTTTTCAGGAAAAAGATGATAATTACAGCCTCTGAAAAATCTGCTGAATCAGCTGTGAGTCACTTCTAACTTAATGATAGATAAAAACAAACCTGCAATCTGTAGCTTAAAGTTACTTCCTAAGTGAAATCCTTTGCTAATAATATTTGTTCACCCTGCAATGTTTAGCTGACATTTATTTCTTTAGACCTGTTTTCTATAGCTGAGAATTGAATGGAGCTAGTTTATCTTCAGAACCTTGACCAGACCAGGCCAATTAGGGACACAGTCACCAGATCTGAACACCTGAGTGAGGGAATAAATGTGGAAGTTCTTAGATATTCCAATGTCTTGTGACTTCCTTACATAAGCCCCTTCAGTATTCAAGGTAAGGAGACAGATTTGGGAATGTTAAATCTGTTAGGTCTTCACACTGGCTATAGGGCCAAGGACTCAAGGAAGGGACCAGGGAGGAAGAAAGCTTAAAGCAGCTGCATTAAGGGGGCTCCCAGGCAGGATGTCTGGAGAGAGATAGAGATGAGGGGAAAACCTTGCCCTAAGATGGTTTGGGGCAGGTTTTTATAGTAAGATTTTTCAGGGAGGGATATTCCATTGTGGTTTAGCCAGGTGGGTGAGGCTGTTCACTCCCTTTGTTAATGTGGTATTCTTTGAATTCTTTATTCTCCACTTGACCTTGGTCTGGGCCTGACATCCCAGCCTCTTTAGTGAGCAAAAGGGCAACAT